CCCCGCAAGGGACGTTGGTCTAAGAGTGCCAATGTTAGGCACCCAAGGAGGTCGACCACCCCTCCTCAAAGAGTACGTTAAGCGTTTAGAGGTTTGCCTGAAGATGACATCAATTCTCCCAAAAATCTTATAGGCAAAAATGATGATGGTGTCCCTTAAYGTAAGCCCGCCAAGCGTAGGCAAGGCTAATCCTGTGTCAGACCGTGACAGCATGTCACACTAGCCCTATCYGTGTCTCAGTTATAGCACACACCACAATGTTGTGTGCGTGCGACCATCATCAGGTTGCTCGCGTAATACCCAACCACCAAGTGTGTCCACCTTGTCATGTGCGCCACTAACTCCGCACATAGCCCCACCCAGCCTTGGGGCATGGGCACCCAACCTGCTGCTGGTGCTACCCGTGGAGAGTCCACCACCTCCCCTAAGAGTACGTTAAGCTTTTGGCCCTTTGCCAAAAGATAACATCATATTTTTGAATTGTCATACTATCATATTTATAGTAATGCCACTGCACTTGTCAACAGAGTGTCCTGCTCCTCGCGTCCACGCCTAAGGCATCCGGCTCGCCTATGGCATGTGCCAAGCCCTCAGTCGCATTTTGTGTTAAGGTCTCTCCTAGGCATCACTATGCATCTGTGTAAGTCTAGCCCGCCAACTTGCCCAAATGTCCGCACTCATGTGTTGTAGCATGACTGCACTGTCTGTGTCATGGCGCATGTCCGCCTACGCCTGGGTGTTGACCCTGTCCTAGCTTGACACCTGCTAAGTTACCCTGTACGCTAGGTGCTGGCCTTGTCCTAGCTAGGCGCTTGTTCAGCCTGCCTATGCCTGCCAGATCCCTCAGTCCACCTAGTCGTGTTGCCCCCTCATGGCCTCATCACCTGATCTTGCATGAGCCGTCCGCCCATGCCTTGGCCTAATCCGTAGGCCATGTATTTCATGTCTCAATGCCTCATTAGGTCCATGGCCCGTGGCCCACTCTGTGCCACTAACGTGCTAGTATGTCAAGGGTCTGACACTAGCCTCCTTATAAGCAGATTTGATAGTAAAATTTCCCTTGGGGTCTAATCTCTAGATTAATTTATCTCTTCTATCTCTCAAAGGAAGGAAGATGGACCTAATATTAGTCCATACAAAATTTGGAACTTGGTTTTTCAATGAGTTCACCTTCCACACTCCCCTCTCATGGTCCATCAAATCAAAGACAAGAAGATTTTCTTCTTCTATGGAGAGGTCTTCGTTCACCAAATCCTTAATGGGTCCCTGCTCAAGCCAATTATCATCCCCAAATTTAACATTTCTACCATCACTAAYTCTCCACCCAATCCCCCTCCTGAGAAGGTGTCTTGAGTTAAGAATTCCTCTCCAAGCCCATGCGATCCCCTGTTTTGAGTTAGTGTTCCAAAAATCTTCTTTTGTTAAATGCTTGTGAGTCACAACTTTGACCCAAAGATTTTGATTTTCTTTCAAAATCTTCCAACCTAACTTGGCAAGGTAAGCCTCATTCACCTAGTGGAGATTCTTAAGGCCTAAGCCTCCCCATCTTTTGGGAAGGCATACTTTTTCCCAATTAATAAGGTGAATAGGCTTCTTACCATTCCCTTTACTCAGAAAATTTCTTTGGCTCTTGTTTATCTCCTCAATGACATTAATCGGGCACTTGAAAGACCTCATGATAAAATGTGGCATAGAACTTATCGCCAAATTAAGGAGTGTAACTCTACCTTCCAAAGAAAGAGTTTTTTTGTTTCCACCCAGCAAGTTTATTCTTAACTTTTTCTTGGAGATCTCTAAACAAATTCTTTGACACTTGACCATTTATTATGGGAGCCCCCAGGTAAGTGTTTTCTTTCCTTTCAAGGGGGATTTTCATGACTTTTAACATTATTTTTTGCAGTCTTAATGGAATATTCTTTGAGAACTTTAAGGCCGACTTTGAGAAATTTGGGCATTTCCCTAAAGCCTTAACAAAATCACTAAGAATTTCTTTGATTTTCAAACAAACTAGGATTGTCGTTTTTATGAAAATATGGCAATCATCAGCAAATTGGAGAATAGGAACACATGGTCCCCCTCTTGAGGCTCTGCAACCAATAGGGCTCTTTGGCTTGTCTGCTTCCTTTGTAAGATTTTTGGTAAGGGCCTCAGCACAAAGGACAAAAATGTAAGGGGACAGGGGTCTCCCTGTCTAATCCCTCTTTATAGGGCTTGAACTTTCTGGATGGGACACCATTTATCAAAATTTGGTATGAGACTAACTTTATACAAGTCATAACCTAGTCTATCCATTTCTTGTGAAAACCAAATCTATTAAGAACACCCTCAATAAATTCCCATTCAAGCCTATCATAGGCTTTTTCCATGTCAACACCCTCAATAATTTCCATTTCATGGGCTATCAAGATGTTGTCATTAATCTGTCTATTTAGGATAAAAGCACTTTGAAAAGGGGAGATGTTAGAATGAAGAAGGGGTTTAATTCTATTAACTAGGATTTTAACAATAATTTTGTAAATCACATTACATAGGCTTATAGACCTAAAGTTGTTAACATCTTCAGGATTTTTTGATTTGGGGATTAGAGTTATAAAAGTTTCATTAAATATTTTATTCAATTTTCCTGAGTTAAAGAAATCTTTGATTGCTTCACTCACCGAATCCCCTATAATATTCCAATACTTTTTGAAGAACAAAACATTAAGTCCATATGGACATGGAGCTTTAAGATCTTTCATTGAAAGAAGCACCTCCCATATCTCTTTGTTAGAAAATTCAGCAGAAATCAATTTATTCTGCTAATCCGTAATACAAGGGTTTATATATTCAATGAAATCGTCAACCCCTATAGCACCTTCAGATTTAAATCTGTCTTCAAACTTGCTAACAAAAAAAAAAAAAAAAATCAGCAATTTCGACTTGATCATTGATCCATTCTCCCTCGTCATTTATAATTTTGAAGATTTTATTATTATTCCTTATTGCCACCATGGTTTGAAAAAAATTATTATTTTTGTCACCGAACTTTAGCCCAATTAATTCTTACTATTTGGACCCAATGAATTTCTTCATGTTTTAAAACCTTAGAAAAACTTTGAACATCCTTTAATCTAATGAGAATATTTTTCTTTTTGATAAAAATATTTCCAAAATGTTTCTATTCCATTTTCTGATATTCTGAACTCGAAAAGTTCCTTCTTCTTATAAACTTCATAGCTCTTGAACCTCTAGAATCCAGCCTCCACGAATTAGCAACCACCTCCCCAAGGCTTTCTTCTTGGCACCACATGGCTTCAAACCTAAATGGTTTTAGGCCTGAACGATTAAAGCAATCAGTGTTAAGAAGAATTGGGGAGTGATCAGACGAGAGAAAAGGGAGGTTCTCCAAGTAAGCTTCTGAAAATTCATTGATCTGCTCACTGTTTACAAGATCCCAATTGAGTCTCTCCCATGTAGATCTATTCTCCAAGTGAATTTATTCCCCAACATTTTTAAATCAAGAAGATTACAACCATTTATAAGCTCATTAAAATCTCTAGTCTGATATGGTAAGACCGATCTACAACCCCTCTTGTCCTCTATATCTTTGATAGCATTAAAATCTCCAATTAAACACTGTGCTCTAGTATTTTCAGAGATATATCTAATCCAATTCCATATCATTTTTATTTGGGGGAGCATTAACACAATGTACAGAACCAAGATTTTCTAGTAGCCATATCATAAATTAGAGAATTCACTAAACGATCATTTAACAAAATAACATCAACCTTACATCTGTTTTTATCCCAAAAAATCCATAAACCACCCGAAAATCCAATGGGATCCACTACAAAATAGTCATAAAGATTTGCAAAAGATTTAACTACTTTTTTAGTTCTCTCCAAATTTTTCCTAGTTTCAAGAAAACTACATATAGCAGGCCTATGGGCTCTGATGAGCTCAAGGGCGTGCCTGCAAAACTGAACTGAGAAGCTTCATTTGCAACCGATTTTATCTCTGGATCTATCTTATCCTCATTATTCCTGAGATTGACATATTCCTGCTCAGAGTTCAGCTCACTTGCATCCTCTGCATGCATATTATCATAGTTTTCTTGGCCTGCTTGCTCATCCCAGTCCTCGTCCTTATCTCCTTCTCCCTCTTCCACTATTTGATTGGTTTCACCTTCCACATCTTCATAGTTCTTGTCATCTGCATAATTATTTCCATTTTCAAAAACATTTAAGTTTTGGATAGGGGTACCTGCTCTCATTTTCCTAATTGTTTTCATAAGGAACAACAATCGAACTTGTTTTCTGGACCCATTGTTTTCTATTGCTTACAGTCGCCATTGGCATAATAGTCGCATGTCCAGCATTTAGATATCTTGTTCGGGTAGGCCCTTTAGCACATTCAAATCACTGGTTTTTAAATCCTGTCCAATTGTATTGTTTCTTACCCCAAGTTCTATCCTTTGCCATATCGAAATCAAATCTTGGGCTGAAAGTGGGCTTCCTCATTCCACCATATTTTCTTCTACCAACTGTAGTCCATTCATTTTCTCTGTTCTTTTCGCTATTCTTCTCACAGAAGGATGCCTTGTGTCCCCTACCTTAGAAAGTTTGTTCGTTATAGTTTCATGGTATCATCATCCAATTTTATATCAGTACCCACATCTTGTAGAAGATCATCCTTCGACCAGAATTCTCTACTGCCCTAACATCATTATGCCATCAAACGACCCGTACAATACATGTATACCCAAAACAAAAGGTGCTCTTTAGATGTATATGCATATATATCTAGCCCTACTTGCCTCTGTAATATAAGGTAGTTCTTTGACCTCCAGGACGAGAAACTGATCTTCCCTCAGGTCCATCTAGTTTACCATGGGTAGCAGATATTTTATGCCATCCAATCTATTGTTTCTCGTTGGGTGTTCCTTTTTCACAGAGTATCTTTGGTGATCTGCAATGGTTACAGCTTGTATAAATAGCTGTCATGAGGCAAATGACTTCTTTGACTTTGCATTTTTCTTGACTTGTATCAGCCACTTCATGTGCAGAGCATGAACAGACTTTGTATAAACTTAAATTAGAGAGTTATGTTTGGGCATGAGATAACCAGACAACTTTTACTGCAACCCAAAATTGAACTTTATACTTGAGGCTAATACAGAGAATAATCCAGCTGGGTCCAGGAGTTCAGACCCCAAAGTTGAAACCCCCCCCCAACCACTTGTGCATGCTTACCAGTAGTCGCCACAAGAACAATGCCCATTCCTGAAATGGTGGAACCTTGTAGTATCTCTTACAATGATTTCTCTCTTCTCAATTGCAGAGATGTACTTGATTGCATTGTGGCAATCCCCACAGACTCTAAGGTTCTTAAACACCCGGATTTGAGTCCCCTGGGGTGCACTGATCAGTGCAAAAGCAATTGCCAGCTTCTCACTATGCCTCAACAATATCATCTCCTTCTGCTCCTCCCCCACATCATGCAATGCAAAATCAAGATCAGGCACATACCCTGCCAGTTTCATCCTATGCTCCAAGTCATCTAATTTTGCATGTATAGAAGCCAATTTTGGGTGAACCCTGTCACCTGATCTGAACTCATGAACAACACTCTTCACCTCAACCCAACTGTACCCAGGCATCTTCACAACCTTTTTGTCCTTCATTAATTGGCGTACCCTGGCAACTTGGTCCCACCTTTTCATTGCAGCATAGACATTGGCAAGTTGAACATAAGCCGCAGCACTCATTGGTTCCAGATCAAGCAGGTTTTTAGCTGCAAACTCAGCCAGTTCCAAGTTCTTGTGGATCCTACAAGCCCCCAGGAGGGTACCGAATATGGCAGAATGTGCTTTGAAAGGCATTTGCTTGATCAAATCTACAGCTTCAACCAGTAAACCAGCTCGACCAAGCAGATCAACCATACATGTGTAGTGATCTGGCATAGCTTCAAACCCATAATCTCTTTCCATAGAATTGAAATATTGAATTCCAAGATCTACTAACCCGGCATGGTTACAAGCTGATAAAACCGCAACAAAGGTGATCCAATTTGGTTTTATTCCCCTCTTTGTCATCTCGTCAAACAAACAAATTGCTTTTTCCCCAAAACCGTGTTGGGCATATCCAGAAATCATTGCATTCCAAGTAACAGCATCCTTTTGGGACATATCACTGAACAACTTTTGTGCATCTTCAAGATTCCCACATTTGCAATACATACTGATCAACGAAGTCCCAACAGTTGTATTAAGACTCAACGATGACTTAGAGATAAACTGATGGACCTGTTTCCCCAATTCCAGAGCAGACAAACTACTGCAACCCAAGAGAACGCTACAGAAGCTCGAATGGTTGGGCCTGATTCCCGTTGCCACCATCCTTCTAAAAAGCTTTAATCCAGTCTCTGCTTGACCATTCTCCACATAACCAGCAACCATGGCATTCCAAGTCACCAAATTCCTATCCGGCATTTCTTTAAATAATTCTTCCGCCGACTCAATCTTCCCCGACTTCATAAACCCAGTAATCATCGCTGTCCATGCAACCACACTCTTAACCGGAGCTTGCTGGAACAATTCCACTGCCGAGTCCAAACACCCAGCCTCCACATAACCCGAAATCATGGCACTCCACGATACACTATTCTTTTCTGGCATTACCTTAAAGAGCTCATGGGCTTCAGCCATCTTCCCATTCTGGGAGAGACCTGAAATCATGGTATTCCAAGATGCAGCATCTCTAACTGGCATTCTATCAAAAAAACGTCGAGCGCTTTCGATATCCGAGTTATGAAAGTAGCAAGCTAACATGGTATTGAATGAGACCGTATCCGGTTCAGGAATTCGATCAAATAGTTGGCGCGCTTCTCTCAATTTCCCGGCCTGCCTCGAGTAGCCAGCCAAGATTGAATTCCAAGTAACTGTGGTTTTAACAGTCATGTTCTCGAATATCCTAAGCGCAGAATCCAAATCACCAGAACGAATATAGCTGGTGATCATCTTATTCGACGAAACAATATCGCCGAACCCATATCGATCGAATTGCCCAAGTTTTCCGTTGAAAATAGGTTTCCTTGACGTCATCTTATCGGTGGGAACCACGTTGGTTTTGCCCGCCGGGTGGGAACGAGAAGAGCCGTTGGTGGCTTCTGTGTCTCGGCCTCTGTTGGCATTTGGGTGCAGAAATCGGAAGTTGGAAAGTGGAGAATAGCGGTATTTTGTTTGTGAAACCAACGTAAGCAAAGATGAGCGATGATTTCTTGTAATCCTGGGAGGCATCGGCCATCGCCTGTCGGTATTTAGGCAGAGAACATGGTCGGGCAGAATCGGGGTTCACTTCTCTTAAATAGAAATATAGAATTATTAGCAGTGTCAAGTCCTTAACTTTCCGTTATAGGGAGACCGGAGACCGGACCGCCCCTCCACCAGACCATCTGATGTAGGGGTGTTCATTGTGTGGTTGAAACCGTAAAACCGAATCGATTCAAACCAAATTTGTGATTTGATTCGGTTTCAGTCTGCATTTGAAAATGGTTTGATTCGGTTTCATATGTTGTTAAATTGCAGTTCTCCAAACCATATTAGAAATCGCACCATATCATAATAAAACGGTTTAGTATGATTTCATTTTCATGCCCAAAATGGTTTGCTTTGGTTTGGTTTGAAATTTTTTTAAATCATAATTTACTAGTTTTGTCTTAGATCTTCTCTAAACTGCAAAGAACTGAACCGTGAACACTCCTAACATATCGAGTCGAAAGTTCGAAGCAATTTTAAGGTTATGTTTGGTTCATGTGAATTAAAATTAAAACGAAGATTCTGATGAAGTAAATTAGAATATTTATGCCAAATAAATTAAAGGATAAATTTCTTAAACTACCCTTAGTGAATTGGCTAAGTCAAAGTATACCTTTACTACTGTTTRAAAATTGACTAATGCTATTCCACAAATGATTAATACTTCCCTTACGTTAATATTCCTTAATTTCTCATTAACAAAAAAAATAAAAAGACTATTTTACCCTTTTAATCTGTTTCTCTCTATACCTTTATTTCTCTCTTCTTCTTTTTCCCCATCGGCCTCTCCCTCTTTCTCTCCCCTTTTTCCCATCGTTGTTGGGTTCATGGGCAGAGTAGCAGAACACACGGAAAATCCGCCGCTAATTTGTTGTGTGTTTTGGCCGGACCAAGCGACGGAGAGCAGCGACAGAACTGCCAGCTTTCAGAGAAACCACATTCATTCTTCACTTTCTCCGGTTCACCTCTCCATGGTTCCCCTGAACTATAGTCCTTTCTACCTCACTTTCTTACTACTACCTTTCTCCCTGTTTCAGTCCGATGCCTCTCCCGTCGACCTCGTCTCTCTGGACACAAGGCTCACAGCGATCGCCAAACGCGGCGTCTCTGCCTCCGATGCTAGACACCCAGAAAGCAGTCCTAATGTCGAGGCTTAATAGCTCCGCCGGTTTCAGAAGTAATTCCGCGCCTGCAAGAGCTAACTAACTCGTTTTGGGACCGAGTCACAAGCAGTGTGGCACAAGAGGCATATCTAGCGGCTTATCGGTGTCAAACGTCAACTACGACTCGGTCTTGGAAACCCATCCTTGAGACCATCAACGAGAAATCATTCCGTCGTTGTGAATCGGACTTACAGAGCAAGCGGTTCGAGGCGCCAGTAGAGTTCGATTCCGAGTTCAGGTAACGACTCAGTAGCTGATCTCCGTGTTGATTAGGTATGAGCTCGACTCTGAGGTGGGATAAGATATTGACTCAGTGCTTAAGTCATTGTGAAGCCAAGTGATCCGAGTCGATGATGTATCAGGAACTAACTCTCCCTTCTCAGCTTCTCTTTTTTTTTTTTTTTTTCAATTTATCTGGAACAAACTCACCGTTCTCCAATTCTGCTTTCGGGCCCTTCGTTAAACACAATTTTCCCTCCTCGGTTTCATCCTTTGGCAGCAAGTCGGCCAGAATTTCATCCTTCTCAACTTCCCTCTCTCTAAACCCAATTCACCCTTCTCTGCACCTCTTTTTCGCCCTTTGACTAGACCAAAATCTTCTTTCTCTACTTCCATTTTCTTCTCATGCTTTCTCTGAATTTGTGATTCTGCAAACTGAAGAGACTTGGAGTTGAAGCCACCATTGCCCCCGCAGAACATATTCGGAATTGGAAACCTTTCCATAACATGCTGCGAAGGCACATAGGCGACTCCACCATCACCCATGGAAATCCAAGGACTACGGACAAGAACCCTAATTCTCCCCTTCCCCGAGGGTATCGACGCTCATACTGCAATTCCTTCAGTCGGATCAATGCAGACACCAAACTCGAAACCCCATTTTGCATAAAAAAACAAAGCCATAAACAACGTTAGTAAAAAATAATCCCGTTCCGGATTGGCGTGAACTCCACTGTCGTCATCTTCGATCGAAATCGACGGCGATCTAAGTATTGATGAAGGAGGAAGGAGAAGGTGCGAGGAAGATAGAGAGAGGTGGAGGAGGAAGGGGATGAGGGTAACATTGGGTTTTTAATATTAACGATAAGGGTAGAGTGAATTAACTAAATCAATTTTCAAATAATAAGGATACATTTAGTCAATTAACTAAATSAATAAAGATAGTTTAAGAAATTTATCCTAAATTAAAAATTTATTATTTGGGTGACATGAAAAATAGATTCACTTGGTGAAGGTTAGTTCAAAATGTCCCTTATAATGTGTTTGGTTGCAGTGCAATTTTATTTGCACTAATATAAATGTATGGGAGTTCAAATGAAGAAAATGCAAATTTCCGTTAATTTTATTTTGAATTTTACTTTATTCTACTTGATGTCTTAATTTACTTTATTTTTACTACAATTAAACAAAACAAGCTAAAATTTGAAACAAAAATAAGTCAGGATTTACACTCAAACCATTTTGCATCAGTGCAAATTTATTTGCATTATAACTGTGGTTCATTTTGGTAGAGACAGGGATTCAATCATTGAAATACTGCTACCACCAAATTTGAGGAGCGGGGTTATAAGTATGGTGCTAGTAAGGCTACTCAAAATGGCCCCTATAGTGGATTTTGGATTTGGGTGTGGTGTATCACCAAATACTAAAAAAAAGCCATTACAGTGGTACATAGGGACTTCTTCAACGGCCACTCTTAAATCTGGGTTAACTTTGATTGTTGGGGCCCAACAGCATAGGCTGTTGAGAGAGTTTCTGGGCTGGGTACGTTTTGGGCAGTTCACCTATTCATGCCCATACTTTGATATTTAGTCAAAATAAATTAAGATGTAATTATTAATTTATCCATTCTCATGATAGTGCCGAAACTATCTCAACAGCTTATATTGTTGGCCCCCAACAACTAAAGTTTTTCCCCTAAATCCTAATGTGGGGATCAGATCTGAATTCGAAATTTATACTTTTTGTTTTGATATGAGCCCATATCGGGTAATATGGATTTTCTCACAACACGTTGCAGATGTCCATTGGAAATACCACCCCATGTAATAACAATGAAGATCCCCAATGTACAGTAAGGTTGATGTGTTGAACAAATCTGAATTCATGTTGGTTATTAATAACCCTAACCCCATTTCCTCTCTAATAAGTCTTATATAGGAGGCTTTTACAAATTCAAATATCCAAATCCAACTCCATTTCCTTTCTTTCTCTCTTATTAATCTTTCTCATTTGTTAGAATGTATTTTGGATATACAAGGATAGATAAATAGGCTATACAAAACAAACCTAGGGATTGCCCTATCCCAATTATCAACAAGGAAATCATCTAAAACTTACCATAATTTTTCAAAACGTATAGGGAATCTATCTACATACGAACGGTGTTACCAGATTGAAGACGTGGATCAATCTGTAGTAAAGAGTAGGGGTTCTTACAGTTCGGTGAGGCATTTTTTGGAATCAAATTGGTATTATCGGTTTTTAGAAAATTGGTAATCGGAACCGAATCGAAGCCAGTCAGTTAATCGGTTAACAGTTTGGTTAATCATTGGTTCGATTTGTTGGTTTTTAATTTTTTCAATATATATTATATAAATATATAATAAAAATTATAAATATATATAATATTATATTTTAAATAATATATAATATATTATAAATATATTTATATATAATGCATATTTATTAATTTATAATATATAAATATATATATATATATAATATACATAATATATATAATAAATAAAAATATATGTATACCGGTCGGTTTAGTTAACTGTCGGTTTCCTATATTAGTTAACCAAAACCAAACTAGTACCTTCAGTTTTTTAAAAACATCGAACCAACCGTTTGGTTAACGGATTTTTTTGGTTCGGTTTCGATGATTCGGTTTTTTGTTTTTTGTTCTTTTGTTTGCTCACCCCTAAAAACCTGTACTCATCGATGGCCCAACTAGAGATAGTGAAGCTCAGGTGGTCTTCTTTCACAGTTAAACCAATCGATCCAACCCCAAGCGACCGTTTCTGGTTATCAGAGCTTGATCAGCTCAAGGGCTTCACTTCACCCATGTAAAAATCATCTACTTCTACTGACCCCTGGGCGTTTCCGTCATCCCAACAATCGAAACCATGAGCGAGTGAGAAAACTACGAAGAGCATAATAATTAAGACAGAATTATAAAAACCATAAGAAAGGGATAACTGAAAACAGCAGAACTCAGAGARGGAGAAGAACTTTTAGTGGGAGAAATTCTTTCTCATGGAAAACATGTACAAGAAGGGCCGAAGGCTACAATATATATACAAGTTTGGGGCAGAAAATAGTAAGTAAAAGAAAAAGAAAGTCTAACAATAGTAAGTAAAAAAAAAGGAAAGTCTAACAAGATATTATACACCTCCCTAATTTAGAGGATATTATACACTTTCCTAATTGTACACCTTTCTAAATCAGAGGATATTATTCACTTTCCTAATACTCCCCCTCAAGTTGGAGCATGAAGGTCTGAAATGCCCAACTTGCATAGGGGAAATTGAAATTGTCGCTTGCCAAGACCTTTAGTGAACAAATCCGCTAACTGTAGATGTGATGGAAGGTAGC